CTCTCTCTCTCTCTCTCTCTCTCCCCCCCCCCCCCCTCTGCCCCACTTCCCCACTCACCCTGTCTCTCTCTCTGCCTCTCTAAAATAAAATAAATAATTAAAGCAAAGGTGTTCTGTGTATATACACAAAAAAATATTACTCAATCATAAAAAGAATGAAATTTTGTCATTTGCAACAACACAAATTGACCTAGAGAGTATAAAGCTGAATGAAATAAGTCAGTCAGAGAAAGACAAATACCATACGATTTCACTCATCTGTGGAATATAAGAAACAAAAGTAAAAAGAGAAACAAAAAAACAAAAAACACCCAGACTCTTAACTATAGAGAACAAACAGATGGTGATCAGAGGGGAGGTCAGTGGGGGATTAAGAGTATGAGTAGTGTGATGAGCACTGAGTAATATATAAAATCTTTGAATCACTGTATTGTACACCTGAACCTAATATCACACTGTATGTTAATGATGCTAGAATTAAAAAAATTTTTAATTACAAAAATAAAAGCTTTCAAAAAATAAATACTCATTTAGTATAAGTATGCCCTTAATGTTGTTTGGAACATACTTAACACTAAAGAATTATTGTTTACTTGAAACTCACATTTAACTGGTATCCTGATTTTTTTCTGCTAAATCTAGAAATCCAGTTCGTATGCTTTTTTCTCACTGTCACACTCCAACCAGCCTTCCTAGCCTCTGGGCCTTTGCACTTACTATTTGTTCAGTTTGGAATACTCTACCTAAAGCTACTGTATTTATCCAATTATGTTCTTTCTAACAGTATTTTGACATTATATGTTTACTACCAGTTTCCTCCATGGACTACGAACTCTTGGAAAAGAGTCTTCATCTTGTTTTCAGTCAAGCCCCCATTGCCTGGCACAGCATCGGACACACATTGGCATGTAGAGCTCAATAAATAATATGCTGCTTTAAAATAATTAAATGGAAAATTTCTAGCAAATGCAAAAGTAGAGAGAACAGAGTAATAAATCCCGATGTACTCATCCCCCTGCTTCAGCAACTGCCAACAATCTTTTTTCATCAACACCCTGTAATGGGTGGTATACCAGCCTCCTAAAAGGATAGGTCCATGTCCAAATCTCTGGAACCTGTGAATGTGACCTTATTTGGAGAAGAGGTCTTTGCGGATGTCATGAAGTTCAGGAACTTGAGATGAGATCATCATGGATGATCTAAGTGGAACCTAAATCCAATAACACATGTCCTTATAACATAAGAAAAAATACAGATACGCAGAAGGTGAGGTGGTACAAAGATGGAGGCAGAGATGCAGACGATGTGGCCATGAGTCAAGAAAAGCAAGGAGTGCGAAAAGCCACCAGAAGCTGGAAGAGGCAGGGAAGGATTCTCCCCTAGAGCCGCTGGAGGAAGAGCAGCCCCGCCACCATCTTGACTCTAGACTTCTGGCCTCCCAAAGTGTGAGTTCTGTTGTTTTAAGCCTTCCCTCTGTAGTACTTTGTTAGAGCAACCATAAAAAACCACTGTATGCTCCCATCTACTGCCCCCCAATATCATGGGAGTTTATGAAGAAAACCCTAGACATTGTATCACTCCATCTATCAAACATTTAATACATTATCTCTAAAATGTAAACAGTTTTGGGGTGCCTGGGTGGTTCAGTCAGTTAAGCATCTAACTTCGGTTCTGGTCATGATCTCATGGTCTGCAGTCCATGGGTTCCAATCCCACTTTGGGGTCTGTGCTGACAACTCAGGCCCTGGAGCCTGCTTTGGATTTTGTGTCTCCCTCTCTATGCCCCTCCTCTGCTGGCATTCTGTCTCTCTCTCAAAAATAAGTGAACACTAAAAAAAAATTTTTTTAAAGAAATAGAGCAAATACAAAGGAAAAAAAGAGCATTTTTTGTGTTACTAAATACAGGTCACATGAAACTTTCTACTTCAATCTTTTTGACAAGGTATATGATAGCTGTTATGACAATTGTTTAATACATCAAAGAATCCATTAAATTTTTTTCTCCCTTTATTTATTTTTAAGTCCAAGAGATGTCCTAGGGGCTGATCATGATTTGATATTTGGTAAAAACAAAATAAATTGCTTTGCAAATCTTCATAGTAGATGAAATTATATACTTTTGAAAACTTTACTAGCCTCACAATCATCAGCATCTTACATCAGGTAACGCACATCATTGTTGGAAGCCCCAGATGCAAGTGCTGGCCATCCATGCCCGCTTCATTTAATCCTGAAAATCTTCCTTGCTTTTTCTAAATCTTCCTCACTGATAGGAGGCTTCCTCTGGCTGCCAGGCTGCAGAAACTTCTTCACGGGAGGGAGATTGCTGATTCTGGTCTTCAGGGCCTGCAATACACAAGGGCACAGCCTCAGACGGAGCCAGGGCCAGCCCCATCCCTGGCACAAGCCAGAGACCCTCCTAGACAAGGACCAGCTGAGTGCCCTCCATCAGCACCAGTGTGAGGCTGGGAAATGCACAGCCAGTGAGACACGAAGACGGGAGGAAGAAAAGACAGCTCGATCCCATTTTCCCCAAAGATGTCTTTCTTTCAGGCTCTATTGTTTCAGGTCTTCCCTATCTTCTTCCCTACACGAAAAGCCTGTAGCTTCATTGCTTTTGTGCAATACAGGGAAGAGGATTGTGTCTGTCAGAATCCACACACATCAAGTCTCCAAACAGACAATGAAAATGTAGGAAAATTGCCCTGGACGAGAGACAGAAAATATAGAAAGCTGAACCATGAGACTGGTCAAAACCAGGCATCCCACTGAGAGAGGGGCCGAGAGAGGGAGACTCTGCCCAGGGAAACATGATGTCTGCTCTTAGGAGCAGGTGCGGAGGGAAGAAATCAGAAGGCAGGAAACCTCCTCAGACAGGCACAGGAAGGAAAGAGAAGGACACAGGTGGATAAGGGAAATCCCAGAGAAACCAAGGACAAAAGCCACAAAGCAATGGGGATGGGGAGACTGATGCCGAGCCCTGGGTCCTTCTCATGGTAAAGACAAAGTGTTCTTCTTGGGGAAGCATCCACCTCAGATGTTCTGGGTGTGACAAGATTCTCTGCATGCCTCGACCAGCACCCAGGAGGTAATTAATGCTGGAGACGTGGGGACAGCCAAGTCCTGGGCAACGATGGGACCCGAATGTAAATGTTAGATTCTGGAGGGGGAGATGCGAGCCTTCCCTCCTGAAGGCTGTCAGAGAGATTACCTTCAGCAGAGGGAAGTTGGCCATAAGGCTGGGGTCAAGCTCTTCCACATAGTACAGAAGTTCAACCAGGTGAATGTCAGCCCTGCTCAGCCTGTTGCCAACAAGGTAGTCTTGTCCGTGGCTCTTTAACACCTGGCAGGTTTGAGGAATTCCATCATGAGCACAGGCATGGTCAGGCTGGGTCCCTCTGCCCCTCCCCACACTCTCCAACCCAACCTCCCCACCTCTGCTGCCTCACTGAGGGGGTGTTGGCTGCAGACCCTCTTCGCTGCGCTCTGACTCAGTGTGACAGCAGGTCTCTGCTGTTCTGTCCCTGCTCCTCAGCTGAAGCCCCAGCTACCGTTTCCCTGAAACGTGTGCTCCTGTGTATCCCTTTCAACTATTCTGATGTATGCAACTTTTCCTAATAAAATGTTGGGGAAATTCACAAAATTTATTAAAACATCCCAATAATATGCAAATGATAACGTGAAGAGAAAACCCCATGGCATCACCAGCTTAAGGCAATTTGGGTAAATACCCTTTCACACTATGTACACATATAGATACATGGATAATTGTTATGCAAAGAATATAAGACCACTTTAAATGCCCTATGGTAACATATGTTTTGCATTTAACTTACCATAGGGCGCTTTGATTTCAAAGTGAGTGGGGGCAGGGGCAGAAAGAGAGGGAGAGAGAGAATCCCAAGCAGGCCCTGGGCTGTCAGCACAGGGCCCAGTCTCACCAACTGTGAGATCAGGACCTGGGCTGAAATCAAGAATGGGATGCTTAACCAACTGAGTCACCTGGGTGCCCCAGCCCATAGTTTCCATTTAGCATGATTTCAGGTAGTTTGGATCTTGAAACATTCTCCTCTTACGTCCAAGGAGAAACATTAACTGAGATAAGCACTGTCTATAATGATGGAACCTTATTTCCTTAGTTTGCATGGCTGTCCTCTGAAGTGTGAGAGCCATGCCTTCAAGTAGGTCAATTCTTTTCTCCCTAACATCTCTCCATCTGTATCTTCCTCTTCATCACACTACCCCCATCTCTGACTAGATACACCTCATCTGTCCATCCCCAAGACACTGCCACTTTCTCCCAAAAGGCAGCTGGTCTCATGTCTCCCTATCTCCCTACGCATGTTGCCACAGTATCTCCTGATGCATTGCTCTCACTGTGTTCCCCTGGTTCAAAGCCCTTATGTGGTGCTCTGCCTGCAGGACCTACTCCAATGTCCAGTGTGGCTCTCAGAGCCTTCAGCAGCCCAGGCTCTAACTATGACCATGAAAGTCTGCCAAATAGAGAATTCTCGATTGGCTCCTGGTAAGTTGAAGTCTTGCTGGAAAATTAAAACTTGGGTATCACTGGTGCAATTCTTCCTCACAGTCAGTTTTTATGAAATGCCTTGAGAGTCAGGGTGCTGCGTCAGTATTCAGGAAGGCTCATTGGAAGTGAAGGTAAAGGTTCAAGGAATGCCAGACGCTGTCTTTCTTTGTCCTCTATGTCCAGCACCCAAAGTGCTCAATGACTGTCCACTTACTTTTTCAAACACGGGGAGATAACGATCTGTTACTTTCTCTTTGATCTGGGCAATCTTGGCCTCTTTCTGATCAGGTGGACACAGAGGCAAAACGAGGATCATTTCTTTCAAATCTGCCATACCTTCTGTGTACATATCTGTCCTGAAAGACAAAATGACCGAATTGTCAAATGCCTTCTGCCTTGTTTTTAGAGTTGAAAAACATATAAGAACGGGCATCAGGAGGTAGCAAAGTATATCAGCTCCACTGGATTCAATTTTTAAATGTTTATTTATTTTTGGGAGAGAGAGAACAAGTGGAAGAGGGGCAGAGAGAGGTGGGAGAGAGCATCTGAAACAGGCTCTGTGATGACAGCAGAGAGCCCAATTTGGGGCTTGATCATGACTGCGAGATCATGACCTGAGCTGAAGTCAGATGCTTAACCGACTGAGCCACCCAGGCACCCCTGGATTCATTTTTATGTGCCAGTCATTCAGCTCTGATTTTTACTTGATTTGACCATTTCATCCTGGAACAAGCCATCAAGGTACATATACATGTCTAAAATTGTCATCATACTCATGACCAAATAGAGGGACCGAGTCACAGACAAATCAGTGAAATCCTGCAAATACCCACTAGGACCATACCTAGGGTCTGTCACCTCTGCCTTGGCTTATTCTGTGCACAAATGGAGTGTGACTCTATGTGGCTATGACTTGCCCCCTAAGTGATCTCCAGAGAGAGTCCCTGGAACAGCCATCTCAGTCATGTTCCCTTCCTCTCTCATCCTGTTACACCACACAGACCTGTTTATGTGCCCAACGTCAGCAGGTTTTCCAATTATTTTCCACAGCACGAGTTCCACACTCCGTCCATATGCAGTTGCCCACCTCTGGCCTTGTTTGCATTTCTCAAGTCTTCACCTAAAATATCCCCTGAAATGGTGAAATTCTTAATACAGTTTCAACCAGTGCATATTATAAGGGATCTCTTTTTCTTTTGTTTCAAACTGGCTTTTCTATCTTACTTATAAAAATACCAGTTCTGCTGAAATATATTCACATAATTGTCACCCTTTACAATGTATTTCTGTAATTTTTAGTACATTATGAAACCATCAACACATTCTAATTCCAGAACATTTTTATCACCCCCAAAACAATTCTGTGCCCGTGACAGCCACGCGCCATAATCTCATCCCTCTAGCCCCAGGCAACCACTCAACTACTTTCTGTTTCTGTTGATTTAAACATCTGGACATTTAATACAATTGAAATCATACAATATGTGGCCTTTTGTGTCTGGTTTCTTTCATATGGTATGTTTTCAAAGCTCATCCTTGTTGCAGCAGGCATCAGTAATTTATTTTCTTCATGGTTAAATAATATTCCATGTATGGATATTCCACCTTTTGCTCATCCATCCATCGTTGATGGACATTTTATTTATTTCACCTTTGTGACTACTAAGAACAGTGCTGCTATAAATGTTTGTGAACAAGGTCTTGCATGAATATTTTTTTTTAATTCTCCTGGGTGCATATGCAGCAGTAGAATTACTGAAATATGACAACTATGTGTAATTTTTGTGTACTTGCTGAGAATCCTTTATAAGATTTAAATTTCAATCATGTGGTACCATCACAACAGACAGGAGATTGCCCAGACAGCATATTGACTAAATCTGGCTGCTTCAGTCCTGTATCAAAGTGTTCAAAGTAACCGTGGCACCTTGAGGACCAGCCTCTGTTAACTTTTGTCAAATGGCCAGTTCATGTAACTGGCTGATAAGTTAGGGTCCTAGTCATTATAATTTCTGTAATTTCTGAAACTTGTAATTTCTTAATTTGTAATTTCTGAAACTTGAGAATCCAAAGGATCCTCCTTTGGATCCTTCCTTTCTTGAGCCTTATTCTCTAGACACTCAGACACTTGTCCCTTGTCTCTAGTTGTTGGCTATCTTCAGCTCCTAAGGCCTGAGTACATGAGTCATGTTGCACCATCCTCTTGGTTTCATAGTTCATCAGTTTTGGAAACCTCTGTCATTCTGCTATACCTCTAGACACACCCCCTTATATAACCACACTCACTTGAGCCCACGCCAAGTTTACTATTTCCTCTCCCTGGTAGGTCTCTCCTGTGCTAGACCTCGGTTATACCACCAAGGCCTCTACTGCTGTTGGCCATAAAACCTGTGAGCACAGTCTTGTTCATTCAGGGAAGGAACTAGATTTTTCCTCTTAACTGTTGCTGAAAACCCAGAAAATGTACCAAACAGGGCTCTCTCCTTTATGTCTTTCCCTCAGAGGTCATATTTGGTGGCAATGTCGTTGAGAATAGCTCTGGTCTGTACTATCTTCATTCCATTGATTTCGACCATTGGCACTTACTGAAACTTACAGACTTCCATCTTTTGAAAAAAAGAAAAAAAAAAGCAGAATTAAATGTTTTATGGATTATACTCTTTTTGGATGAAAAAAAGTTTGTGGAAATGACTAGAGATTTTTTTTAAAATGAAACTAAAATGACCTGCTATAACAGAATGGCATTTTATTTTTAGGTTCCTAGAGTCCTTGTTTTTCCTCTCAGTCTTTTACTCTTTACCCTATTATTTAATTTATCTTTTGATTTCTCATCCAGGTCCATGAGAAGTCCCACATAATTTTGTGACAATTTATCTTCATGGAGACTTTAGGAAGATGTTGGAAGAGGGCTACAAGGCTGCCAACCAGATGTCATTTCAGATGGGAAGTTCCCAAGTAAGTCTGCAACAGCACTCCAGCCCGTCCTAAAGGTTAACTTGCTTTGAGTTAATACACTCCTTCCTTGCTGACCTAAGTCCCTGGATCTGTGACAGACTGGCCACAGGCCTTGAGGAGTGAGGGATCAGACCTTTCCCAGGCTGCAGAAGCCAGTGGGTTTGTTTGAAGATGCCTTGGCTTTCTGATTAACACAGCAATTTGTTTTTTTTCAGCAAAATAATTTTTATTTTTTAGGTCATACAAATGATTTTACTAACCTCCCTTTGTGTATCTGTAGACCTTAACCTCCTCTGCAGAAAGAACAGCACTCCTGCGTATTATGAAACAGGAACTAGACCCGCTTACAGAACTCTGAGCAGTGAGATGACATTTGCAGCTGGCATCAAGTCTGTGCGTAATCAAGAAATGTTGCAGACTGCTGCATTCCCTTTACTGATTAACTACCCTGACCCCCCTGAAAAATTCCTTTGGAAACCTTGGAGTCGGCTTTTGGACAAGAGTCTGCTTCTCCCCATGTGTCCAGCCTCCTGAATAAAGCTCATATTCCTTTCCAATCAAAACCCACCTCTTGAGTATTGGCCTTTTGAATGACAGGCTTGGAGCTCATAAACAAAGCTCATGGTGTTCATGGCACTTAAATGAGTTTTGAAAGAGAGTTCTATGGAGGGGTTCCTTTCCCTGCTCTTCAAAATCTGCATTATTTGATAGGATATTAGCTTGCAATAACACATCAGAGAAAAGAACTCACATAACTGCTGGCCTATTTCTACTCTTTTCATTCTACTGCATGTGTTTGAGAGTCTTTGCGTGGGCAGGCTATGTGGGATCCTGAACTCAGCTCACTTGGGGGCAGAAAAGTTGGAGAGTGCAAGGGGAGGGCATTCACAGGACATGGGGGGGGGAGGTAGGGGGGTGGGGATAGTTCCTTTAGCAAACACTCAGAGTTCAAGCCCACCCAGCCTTGAGTGAGGTGGAAGATCTGCCCAAGGAGCCCCACCCCTTACCTTGGAGCCACTCCTCTTCCATTCCACCACCCCCAGCTCCCACCACACTCACAAGTAGGTGTTCAAACCCTAACTTATGACTTCTACCTGACCCCCTCATCCGAGGAATTAGATACCTGGTCTTACCATTCTTTAAGTTCCCCAAGTCTTCTTGGAGTTTCTATAAATTTCTCTTCAGACTGGAAAGCAGAAACAGTAAATGAGTTCTTGTTATTTCATTCCATAACATTATAGAACTTTGAAACCTGAATGGCGCTGTCTGGTACATACTATGGAGAAGGTAAGATTTCTGAGTGTAGCCAGGAATGCAGAGGAGCATGATCATGGCCATTTGGAAATTTAGATTAGACCCATCAAGACAACAGCATGGGCTGCAGCACATAACAGCTTATTCTTGTCAGTTCAATTGACCTCCACCCGCTTGGCGATGGGGTTGTCATTGGCAATGATTAGGTTGTGATTGGGAAGGGGGATGTCATTTTGGAGGGAAGGAACTGAGAAGTCCTTCTAGTTATGAGTTTAATATCTCAGAAAAGCCAGTCTCACCACATGAGACAGACAGGACATTGCGTGTGCCCCAGTGTGGGCTATGCCACTGGGAGCCGTGACCAACTCAGATGTTGCCACCAGGGGCCTCTGAGGCCATTTATATCACTACATTCCATTTTATATTTAAAGAAAGAAAGAAAGAGAAAGAAAGAAAGAAAGAAAGAAAGAAAGAAAGAAAGAAAGAGAAAGAAAAAGAAGGAAGGAAGGGAGGAAGGGAGGGAGGAAGGAAGGAAGGAAGGAAGGAAGGAAGGAAGGAAGGAAGGAAGGAAGAAAGAAAGAGAAAGAAAGAAAAAGAAGGAAGGAAGGGAGGAAGGGAGGGAGGGAGGGAGGAAGGAAGGAAGGAAGGAAGGAAGGAAGGAAGGAAGGAAGGAAGAAAGAAAGAAAGAAAGAAAGAAAGAAAGAAAGAAAGAAAGAAAGAAAAACAAAAGTATCACCTGGAGAACTTGTAGAAGCACAGATCCTGGGCCTCCTTGAGGCGAGATTCTCATTTAGTTGGCTCAGATGGAGTTCAGGAATTTGCACTTCTACCCAGCCTTTCCACCTCTGGGTATATATTCAAAAGAATTGAAAGCAGGGTCTTGAAGAACTACTTGTATGCCCACGTTTATAGGAACAGTATTCACAACAGCCAACAGGTGGAAGCACCCAATGTTCACTCAGAGATGAATGGACAAACAAAATATGCTGTGCACACCCAATAGAATATTGTCTAGCCTCAAAAAAGAAGGAGATTCTGACACATGCTACAGCATGGATGAACCTTGAGGACATTATGCTAAATGAAAGAAGCCAGACACCAAAAAAGGCAGGTACTGTATGATTCCATTTACATGAGATGCCTAGGGTAGCCAAATTCAGAGAGACAGTGGTTGCTCAGGGTGGGGGAGAGGAGAATGGAGAGTTGTTTCACAGGTACAGAGGTTCAGTTTTGCAAGATTAAAAGGAGTTCTGGAGATGAAAGCTGGTGATGGTTACACAACAATGTGAATGTGCTTAATGCCACTCAACTGTACACTCAGAAATCAGTAAGGTAGTAAAGTTTATGTTATATGTATTTTGGCAATCAATCAGTCAATCAATCAATAGCATTCTAAGCTCCCTGATGGAAATGCGGCTGGCCAATGAACCCACACAGTGGAGCAGCCTTACAAAGAGGACTCCACCAGCCATAAAAACATTGGCTCTGTATACAGATTAGCTCTTGGGGATATCAGCTTCCCTCTTTATCACTTGGTAACTTGGTGTTTGCTCTCAATAGAGCAAATCTCTTAATCTCTCTGGGTCTTTGTTTTCACATCCATAAAATGGATGAGAGCCTGGACCAGGTGATCCCTGTTTCCTTTGGACTAGGTGAGTGCATTCTTCGAATCTAAAAGTGCTTCCAGTAAAGAGCTCCAGTCAGCAGATGGAAAGCCTGTGCAGTATATACAGTGTGGGTCTAGGACAGTCCAGACTTAGTCTACAGGGAAGAAACAAATTCTTTAGGAAAATTTGGTTCAGTCAGGTTCTGAAGGTTTTGGATCATGTTCAACATGCCTGGAATCTGACAGGTGGTCACTGGAATCTCTGATTTCAATGTTTGGTCATCTCCAGAAATGTAGAAGTTTAGTACAGAAGGAAAGCTACAAAAATGACAAATTACCATTAAGGAGACTTTTATCCAACATTTTTAGAGACATATACTAAGGCAAAAGGAAACAATGGCCTCATTTGATCACTTTTTCCCATTATGTTTAAAATTCAACTTGTCTGCTCATATTACAACAGGAACAAAAAATTCCAAATTCATTTCAATGAAGCGAGTGTTTATTTCAATACATCTTCCCTCTGCTACAGCCTTCTACTTTGAACACAAACCATTTGAAACTCATCAACAATCAAGTTGCGCCTCTGTTAAAGCCCAGATGGCTTTAGGTTAAGATTAACCATCGGATCTCTGCACACCAGGTCTGAAGCACTGTGAAGAGGGCCTCTGTCCCTCCTTAGAACATGCCTGGAATTATACAGAGGGTAAAAATGGCCTACTGGCACAGAAGGAGTATGTTGGTAATGATGAGCAATGCAAACCTATGGAGACAAATATCTGTGTGGACAAAAATACAGCCAGCTGAAAGCCAAAAACCACAACCAAAACCTTAAATGAGGAAAAGCAAGCAGATATAATTTTAATTTTGTTAATTTTAATTTAAAAATTTTTTTAATTTTTATCGTTTTTTAATTTTAATTTTAGTTAACATGCAGTTTTTTATTAGTCTCAGGTATACAAACAGAATTCAATAATTCCATATATTACCCAGTGCTCATAGCAGATGTAACTTTTAAATCCCACCTCCTCTTTCTCATTATTGTGAAATATTGTTTCTTTAACTGCGATGAGACCCTTACACTGCATGTGCAACAGTAATGGTTGGGGCTAGGGCTTGCTGCTAATTTGACTTTAAAATCCAAGTGAGGGGCGCCTGGGTGGCTCAGTCGGTTAAGCGGCCGACTTCAGCTCAGGTCACGATCTCACATTCTGTGAGTTTGAGCCCCACGTCGGGCTCTGTGCTGACCGCTCAGAGCCTGGAGCCTGTTTCCGATTCTGTGTCTCCCTCTCTCTCTGACCCTCCCCCGTTCATGCTCTGTCTCTCTCTGTCTCAAAAACAAATAAACGTAAAAAAAAAAAAATTAAAAAAAAAAATTCAAGTGAACTTTCAGGGCACCTGGGTGGCTCAGTCGGCGAAGTATCTGACTCTTGATTTTGGCTCAGGCCATGATCTCACAGTTGGTCAGACTCTGTGCTCACAGCTGGAGCCTGCCTGGGATTCTTTCTCATTCTCTCTCTGCCCCTCCCCTGACTCACTCTGTCTCTCTGTGAAAATAAATAAATAAACATTGAAAAAAAAATCTTCTTAAACTTTAGAGGCAACACACTTCATAAAATTGGTACTTCTTTGCCTTTTTGATTATTCAGCCATATCAGATATACAGAGCTGAATTCACGGCAGCCCAGTAATGGAAGCCATATGAGGATGGCCCAGGTCTGTATGGAATTGTTCACATCTGATTCTCTGGAGTTGATACTGGAAAAGGGTAGAGACTCAAGGACAGGTGGGCCGTGCCTGCCAAGGCTCTGGTTATCAAGAGATAACTAAAGCCAACCAAGGACGTTGGGCAGGCAGATGCATTCTGTCCCGGAAACTCTCTCTGTGGTACTGAGTTTACAGATAAGGAGACAGGCTTAGAAACAAAACTTGCTTAGTCACGGGGTTGGCACAGCCAGCCCCAGGTCTTTCTGATGCCAAAGTCAATGCTATTTTCACCATCTGCCTCTCACCCAGAGTGGAAAGAAGGAAGCAAACCATGATCTGGGGCTTGAAAACATGAACCAAAGCCACCACCACTGGAAGCAATTGAGGGTCTGAAACCTAAAGCAGGCGGCGGAGGAGGTGGGAAACCGTCAGAGCAGCCTAGTACTTTGACTCCTGCATAGTGTTGCCAGATAAAATACAGGATATATGTAACATTTGGAACATACTTATACCAAAAACCTATTCATTGCTTATCTGCAACACAAATGTAACTAGACATCTTGTATTTTTATTTGGCAAATTAGCAACCCTATTTCTGAATGCCTTTTGTATCTGGTTTGAGTTGGAGACAAGGCCTTGAGGTTGTTCTTATTAAGTAAATGTTTGATTACACCCATGGTATAGACAGCAAGTAGGGGATGAAAGGAAATAGAACATTCTCACACCTGGGAAGGATAGCATTCTACATGTGGAGCCAAGACTGTGTTTGTTTGGAAAGACAAGTATTAGTACAAGGCCATGTCAAAAACTTTAGTGAGCAGGGGCGCCTGGGTGGCTCAGTTGGTTAAGCGTCCAACTTAAGCTCAGGTCATGATCTCACAGCTCGTGAATTCGAGCCCTGCATCAGGCTCTGTGCAGAGCCTGCAGCCTGCTTCAGATTCCCTCCTTCTCTCTCTGCCCCTCCCCTGCTTGCACTCTGTCTCTCACGTCTCTCAAAAATAAAAAAACATTAAAAAAAAAAAACTTCAGTGGGCACACAGATCACCCAGGATCTGGTTAAAATCCAGATTCTCATTCAGTGGGTCTTGGGTAGGGCCCACGACTCTGCATTTCTAACATGTTTCCAGGTGCTATCTATAGTGCTAGTCTGGTTCCATACTTTAAGTAGGAAGTGTAAACCATGTAAGCTGAACGAGGAGTTCAGACACAAGTGCCCTCTACAGATGGAGCCTTCCACACTAGGATGGGGGATACAGGCACTGGGGAACAGCCACTGAAGTGCCACTGGAATCTCTGCTTCAGACACAACAGTCTAGAGTATGTCTGTTATTTTCTGCTGCTGTTACAGTCCAGCTGTGGGCTTAATTGTTTACTTTTGGCAAAAGACCTACAAGAACTGTTGACCTTGGAGGTTTTATCTCTTTTCTATTAATGGAAAGGTTTCTACAGTGGTTGGGCTGGCCTTGGGGTTTTGAGAGGTTATTTTTGTCAAAAGATGAGGAGGGTCTAATCTTTCCAAATCAAAGGAACTCCTTTCCCACAATCTCACTTTTCAAAGCTTCATTGTTTTTGACATAGGGAGTG